TGTTTTTCGTATGTGTTAAATTATAAATGAGCAAAGCTTACTATTAAAATGTCTATATAATGACGTCGTCTAAATTAGTACTCAATATATACAAGCTATGAAACAATAAAAACCTACAAATTGTTTCCGCATTTCGGGGAATCCTGTACACGCAAAGGTCCCTTAACAGCGTGTACATACACGACACATCATAAGAATTTTCCTTGCCCATATTAATAAGTTAAGTACTTCACCCCGTCCCGGATGCTTGTGACCTTCACGAATAAACGGTGGGAATTACTTGGTTCAATCTACGCTTTTACTATAAACTGTTTATAAAGTCATCTTTCAAGTATGCAATAACTTACGAATATCTTCCGCTACAACATTTAATTTTAGCCAGCGGGCAATTATAATTGAATTTGACGTACCACTTGACATTTTTAACATACAAGTACTGTGTTTATCGAGCCATAAAGTTAAATTATTGAAACATTTTAAACATAAATATTTCACAATTATATTATTCTTTGTTGAGAATAAAAGGAGTGTTTATTATATACAGTTGGAAATGTCTATCAATTCCAATAATAATTGGTGTCAAGGTAAAATTATTTGTTATTTTATAAGATAAGAAATATATTTTTTATTGTATCCTCTTTGGAATCGAAATTATTTATTCCCTTCGATAAACCGATTCTCTAAATAAGCGAGTATTTGGAGGTTGTAATAATTGAGGTTTGAAGCAAGCGACCGGTAACTCGGTCAAAGAACGCTCTATCCGATGGGAGGTTGGAATTGAAGGACGAGTTGAAGCTTTTACATTTTATAAGAGAATGATTGATCTTGTACCTTTTATCAGCAGTTTGATCGACCCTTTAAGGTTTTACCAACATTTATCTTTTGATGTGATATATTTAAAAACTGGCCCCTTCTTTAACGCTTTTGTATAATGTTGCCTAATTAACTTAAATCAATTCTGTTTTTTAAGATGACGTTTATTATAGGTAATAGCAAGAAAATAAAATGCCAAATCTATATTTTTTATAATACCTTGTATAATTATTACGGATACAAAATCGGATTATATTATAAGCACACTTACAATTTTAAATAGACGTATTTTTTATTCTTTTACAGAGTTATATATGTTATTTAAATAATGAGACAAAACAACGTAACTAACTACAACTAATTAATACGTTGGTACATATTTTTTACTACTTACTACGCGCAGTTCAACGATTAATAGCTACTAAGTAATAATTGTATCGAATAATACACGTCCATTGCGACGTCATCTGGCAACACTATAATATCTTGAAGCGTATAATTTATAATAAAGAGGAATTTTGCGAAATTACGTTTCGTTTTATTTATTGCAATCTAATATAGGCTTTAATAGCGTAATGCAATAGTTATTTCATTTAAGAACAGATAAAAATTAGCTTAACATTATATAACTAGTGCATACTAATACTGTTTTGTATACTAATAGTAGAAATACAAGAGTTCGCAAAGATATGGTTCTTTGTTACATTTAAAGACTTGAACTATGTTTTTTGTCAATATAGGTAGATACAACTCTTGTAGAAAAGGTTATCTCCACAAAAACGCACGCCCAGGTTGAACAAGACATTCTAAATAATTTTATTCTATTCCAGGCTGATAGATGCTATTAGGTACACGCTAGAACTAACCTTTAGAAAATCGTACATTCCAAACGCAATCAACAAGTACACGTCTCACATTACCTTCGTCCTAAAATGCAATACTCAAGACGAGTGTTGCACTATTTGTGCATTGCTTAACGCCGGTTACGCTCTTAAAAACTTTTTAACTGTTTAATGTATTAAATTAATTATAATAATTACGTGCAATGTTCACGCGTTTTAACTGTTGGGACAGCGATTAAAGTTCACTTGTACGCGAAATTGTAGGTCTATAAAAAAGAAAAATATTAATGGAATTATAAAATAGGTAGTGCCTTTTTTGTTGATGGCGAAGACGTAATAACTGTTTCTAAATAGTTCTTGTATACTAAAAGTACAAGGGTAAAAGTTCTGCTGTTAGCATATAACATGAAAATTACAGGTTTGAGTACGAAAGTTTACTCATAAGCATTAAAATCAAGTACTACTGATGACAAACGCTATTTCATAATGTACAACAAAACCAGGATTGTAATGTGATTAGCTCATCTTTTGTACCCTTCGTTGTATTGTATATAGTCATTAATTAATTAAGAATTAATCAACGACGATACAGAGACACGCACTTCGCATTTAAAACTAATTATATGGCATCGGTGAATTATTTAATTACCCAGCCGAGTGTTAACCTTTAATGTCTTATTGCAGGAGTACTAAATATTGTGCAGGATTAAGATGAAAGCTACCTTTTGGTCTAGTGGTTAGTGTTGGACTACTGTCGGAGGATATTAATAGGTTGTATTCCTACCATTTTATCCGCCTTAGGGAAAATAAAGTGTACGAAGTATACTTATATACAAGTATATTTATATTAATGATCATTTCAAAATCTATTAAAATAAATGCAATCGTGTTATAATGACAGAAGTACATTAATTACATCTACATGCTAAGTTCATCATTTGCTAGTACCGAATAAAAATATTGCTCAACTATACCAAGTATTCAGGCAAGGACGTTCAGTAACGGGAGACGGTCGAAACGTATGAAGTGTTACTTAGCACTAAGCTAAAAGAACATTTTACAACGATTTCAGAAGAAAAACGTGATAACACCAATAATTTGTTTAGGAGATTATACTCCTTAATGTTACGACATTTCACCATGAATAATTTGCCAATCATCTTGCTCTTTAGAGAAAATAATGCTCGGGTCAAGAACGCACCTATACGTGTTATATTTTACAAACGACGTGTTTGATAAAGAAAAAAATCTCGTAATAAAGGAGGGGCTCCCTTTCGCAATCGAAGCGACGGCACACATTTTTCTCAATTTTATGAAACTGCGACCTTTACATAATCTATATTAACTGCGCTATTAAGAATATTGGCGTATAATGAGATAGATTATTGCAAGAGTTCAAGCGATTTAGACTAGCCACTAGGAAATCATTGCGTTACAAGATTGTGACAAAAGCGACAGACACAATTTCCACCTGAATATTATAGGTATTGTCATCACGTTAGAATCGAAGAAAATGTTGTAAGTCGAAAATAACATATGCTGTGTCGCATGCGTTGTTGCAAACTCTTATACAATAATGTCGACTGAACAAATAGTTGTGTGTTCCGCATTTCTAGTGAGCATCATTTACTCGGGTCGTTACTTACGAAGCTAACCATTCGACCGATTAAATTTTCCAAATTACAGACATCGGGTATAATGTTACATATATGCTGGACCGATACACGTAGTCCTTGATATTTCTGTAGTCATCATGACATTTATAATACTTTATCATTAGACACGACAAAAAAAAATTCATTTTCCAAACTACAGGTTTATTTAAAGATACGGTAAATAATACGATATATAAGTAAAATGTGTGTTGTTTGATGCAATCTTTTCAATATTAGAATAAATCGAAAATTGCGCATATATAATTGTGTTTCGAGCGGTTTGAGTATATACATCAAGTTAAAGTATCTAGCACAAACGCAAGTAGTTTTTACGCGGTAGGTGTTTGATCTAAGTTTTATTTAAGACATCTCTACAGAAGCGTGTTCAAACCAATTTCCTTTTTTCAGAGAACTTGAACGAAATTCGTTGTACGTTTGATTCGCTATTGTTGCAATAATCAAGGTCAATGTTCGCGAAATGAACTAGAATAAAATAAGAAAGGCTATCAACTATGGCGTCAACCGGCGAAGCAATGACGTTGAAAAGTCAGGTGGCTTAGCCAGTTTCGGTGTTATTAAAATTCGTCGAATAAGTAATTTCACAACTTTCACTAAAAAGTAAAAATGTTTACACGAGGAATATTTTCGGACACCAGATAATTGCGTATAACGTACGCAACAGCGCGATTGTGTGAATGAAATTCGTCATTAATAAAATATATGACTTTATTAAAGCTATTTGGCGATACTTGGAAATCGTTACAGAGCAGCATTGTTACCAATTATGAGTAATAATTAAGGATATGAGAAGGATACAACGATGGTTACATTTTCCTTTAACTTCCAATAATGGATCAATGAGCGAATAATGACAAACAAAGAATCCAATCGCTATCGAAGAAACCGAATGAAATATTAATGTGAAAAATAATTGTTGTTTAGAAAGTCCAGTGTCTATAATAGAGATTTTACATTGCATGCTCGCACGCTGCACGAGAAAGCACGAAGAAATGCGACGTCGCCGACCGCTACTGTCGAAGGTGGATTTGAGCCCCAATTCTCAATTACGTGACTTCATTTTGTTAGTTTAATTTAGAGTTATTACTGGTATTTAACAGTAATCTTAAAAATATAGCCACAAACTAAATGGCGTTCGTATGAAAAGTCAATGCACATATCGGTATAAAAAAAGAAATTATTATTTTAGTTATAAAATTAACGTAATATAGACAAAAGAAAGGAGCACAACTTTATTTGTCGAAAGTAAAAGTTATGGACATGGAGAAAATCAGTGGACAAACTCTAGAAACCTGTGGCCAGTGCCGCTAAGCGACCTACTGTACCTACTGACTGAGTCGATATCTCGATACGCGATTTCACTTTTTATTTTATTCATCTTTTAACTGCACCAAAGATAACGTGTATATCATAACATATAACCTCTTAATTAATCTGAAATTTTAATAAGTATATAACATAATAAAACGTAATACATAAATAATTACGAAATTAGATCAGCTGACTTAGAGGTTAATGTCATGCTGTTATGTAAAAAGGATAATTGTCAATGGGAGCCCTAATGAGAATTTTGCCTATTCACAAGGATAGTAATACTTGCAATAGGTACTACGGCAGCATATTTATATTTTTATCAAAGAAATTACTGAAAATATTAAATAAGTTATCTAACCTGACATGTCTTTCCAAATATTCGCAAAGGTGTTGGTCCAGGAGGTTTCAGTTTCACAAATACAGTCTGCCTTCGAACTTTATGCCCGAATTGACACATAAACTTATCCTGAACACGAGCACAGAGCCTACTCGAACTTAAACACGCCATAACTACAACTGCAACGGTACGCTTGAAGACATGAACTACATAACTCGCTATCACAAAAGCATTCGGCCTTTTCCTCCCCTCTTGTAAATCCGACAGCTGATTCGAGCTGTCATGTGTCAATAACTAACTAATGTCAATGTCGCTGTTAACTCTCTTATTTTTGGTTCTAGTTTACTACTAGTCTATGTAAAACTTGGTACTCTGACAACCTTTTTTTTTTGATAATTTAAACTTACAACACTCTAAAAAACTTATAAACATTGTCGGTTATGCCGGGAAGTTGATGTTAAATTATTTTATATAAAGTAATATTTCCACTTGCTTGCATTAATCTTTCACTCACGTAAAATAAATTGAACTCAGTTCAAGAATTATAAAACATGTCTTATCTGTGTTACCGCGCTCTGTCATTTGTCTTTGAGCTAACCTATAATTTTATAGAAAGTAATAAATATTTTGCTTTTAAATATAAAATTCGCAATAAATAATAATCATGATTCCAGGTGTACGAAGAAATGTGATTGATTTGCTTAAAAATATTGAGCGAAATATATTCAATTTCTTTAGTCATCCACCAAGAGGTATTTATAAGATATATTCATAGTTTGGTAACGGAACATAAGAAAATTTAAGTTTAGCGAGCACTTCATTCAACCACTTTATTTATTACTCTACTGTTTCAGAGATAGCCTACGCGTGTGTAAACGAGAAGCAAATACAACATCAAAAGTTTTCAATTAAGGATATCGTTGGCGATGGATTTTTATTAGCAGTACCAAAATTTAGGAGAACAGTCGAAAAGCGTTGGAAAAGAAAGTTTGGATCCCCAGAATACCAATGGAAAATGCTTGTACCACGTACTAATATCAAGGTTTGCCATGAATGTGGGCATTATCATGAAAGAGGACGGCTTTGTGGTAATACTATTTTACTGTAGTTGTTAGTCTCAATTGCTTTCAAAACCATTTATTGATTATTTATTTTCTTTCTATTTATATTGATATTGTAGTAGATATTGTAGATATTGTAGTAGGCCGGGTGATCAGTCCACTCCATCAGAATTGCAGAATTTTATTAAAATTTCAAAGCCATAGCAATCTTATATATTTTAATGTTTTTTTAAGGTAACTGTTATAAGAAAGTTGAAGCAGAAACCAAAGAAATCCAAGATAAAATTGTAGAAAAACTTGCAAACAAACCAATTGAGAATGAAGTTATTGTTTTGTATGATGGTGAAAATTTACCAGATCAGGTGAAACACTTTGTATTTATTCATAAAAAAAAGATAAATTTGATGCCATCATTATCAATTGCTTATACTTTAGTCATTATTTTAAGCACCATCACTTGCTGATAATATTTGTGTGGCCACAAAAAAATTACAAAGTAACTTAAGACTTTAACATTATATCAAATACTTACTGTTACAAACACTTCTACTACTAAAAGATTCATTAATTTCATCAAAGAAGAATAAGATAAAAAGTAATTGTAGTCAATGTCTAAAATTGAAACATATATATGCTTTATGAAAGAATAAGATATGGATAAATGTATTCTGCAGTTATACTTAAATAGAAAATAACCTTTTTTGTCATCTTCACCTTGCTACTCTCTCTTACAGCCCAAAGAATTCTGGCAAGGTAAGAGAATCATTGAAATGAAAAAGGAGAGGCCACAATTCTTCAGTAAAAATCTTTTACAGAAGACAACTCAACAACCATCAGAATCAACAGATGTAAAACCTACTGATTTAGCTTAGTTTTAAGATTACGGAACATAGAACCAAATAAAACACATATAGTTAAAAAGATTTCAGTGTTTATTTTACAATTGTCTCAAGATATAAAAAAAATTCACAATAAATTAGACCATGCATATACATACTATAATTCTACTTAATATATTTGCAGTATATCATAACTTATTCTATTCTGAAGTATTATCCAACATACATAAGGAGACTTTTTGGAATGATCATACAAATTTATATTGTAGACTCTAATACTGCACTGTTAAATGAAAAATCACCATGCCATAAACTTATGTGTAGAGAAAGTGAAGAATAGAAAGAGCCTGCTACTATTTGTAAATCTAGATAGCAATTTTGTAAAGAAGTATTTGCCCACACGTTAATTTATAACACATAAGTTATAAATTAACGTGTATTAAGTCTGTATCTAGAGAGCAAATAATCTCAGATGACATACAACTAGGAATAACAAGCATATAAAAGTCTACATAGTTCAAAGAAGTAATAGGTGATTTTCTCTGGACGCTAATAAAAATTGTGTTTACTTGCTTCAATACTAAACATTCCAAAAATGACTTATATTATATCAAAAGAGTTTCTGTGCTCAAAGTTTTCTAAAGAATCTTCATCACTTGGTCCTATAAAGTGACTTTCTACATGAGTTTGAAAGTCAACAAACCCTACATCGTCCTTGAAAGTATCTCCACACATTGGACAGATTTTATCATAGTACTCTTGATTATTTTCAACATTCTCAACACTCTTTTTATCTAATGTAGTATTTAAATCTGAAAAATTATCAAATAGAACAGAATCTGTTTGTGTTGCAAAATTTACAAGACTATTGCTAATTTCAGTTTCCTTATCTTCCATTTTAACAGATATCCCTTTGTTTGCTTTGCATGTGGAACATTTATAGCCATCTGTAACATAAATATAAAATACATCAGTTTTTATTTATTGAATCAATATTACAACACTGAGTTCTGTAGATCAATTTTAGTACGCCATTATCAAAAAATTAACCATCCCCTTTGACTAAAATAATTTTAAATGAAAGTATATTCATTGATTAAATCATTTGATTTAATCTTTATTAAGGTAATAATATTTATTAGGGTACTTTACCATTTAATAAAGTTTCTAATCTTGTTATAACAGTTTTAATATCCTTTTCCTGTTGTGCTACATCTTTTGTTAAAGATTGCATTTTGTCAGTTTGTTTTTTAATTTCTTTCAAAGAATCAGTAGCTGGATCTTCCATAAGATTAAAACCTATAGAATCAATGTTCAAAGTGCAGTCGTCTTCTAAATCTTGGAGTTGGGCCATTTGTTCATATTGCTCTACCAGCTGGGATTTTTCCTGAATGTAACTGTTAACTAATTTAAGGGAAATTTCTTCTAAGCTTGGTTCAGTATACTTTTCTATATATTGTGCATTAGATTTTGGTGAACTATGGATGTATGTGTTAGTACGCACTAATGGTTGCTTTATATGTTCCTTTGCATTTACTTTTTCAGGTCCCTTCATTGCTGCAATTTTTCCCCATAAGTTTTTATTCTCACAGGAAACCATAAAAACATGATGTAAAAGTTGAGACTTTTGCTTATTTAACTCTGCAATTTTTTGCTCCAAAGCAAATTTTTCATCTTCTCGAAGTGGAGTGTAAGAAACATTTTCTGTAGCTTTAGTTATATCTAGTTTGAGTTTTATGTTATCACTTTCTAATGAATTTATTCTTCTCTGAAGAAGAAGACACCTATCTCTCATTGCGTGAAGAGCCAGCTCATGTACGCTAAGGTTATCACCCTTTAATGTAGATTGGTAAGTAGAATCATTGTTAAAGCTCACAATAGATGAAGATTCCATACTGAAATAAAAGAACCTTTCCTGATTTTGGTTCAGTTTTCAAATATCATGGTTGGGTCGAATTTTATCGTTTTTAACTTCTATTTTATTTTAAACGCAAATATTAATTCTTTAGATTATGTAGGTAGGTCATAATACATAAAACATTTTGCAACACACAACACAGCAAACAAAATAGCATACTCAAATTCTGACATTGGCACTGACACCAAAGAGACAAATAATTGACATTAAACATTACAGACAGACCATACAATGTACAATATATTCTGCAGACTTGCACTACGTTCAGTGTTACAGAGTACATTTTCTACAATTAATAATCCCAATTTACGTAGCACATTATAAAATATAAATATTGTATCTTGTTGAGTTTTTGTTGTATAGGTACTTTTGTTCTGTTGTGTCCACTCTATAAAAAATTGTGAACTTGTAATGAGCTAAAGCCATTAAATATTTGAATTAAAAAAAATACAATGTCGTACACCATTCCTCTTATAAAATTTGTTGCATTTTTGGTAAGTATGTAATTAAAATTTGGTAGAATTAGCTAAATATTAACCATTTAAACTTCAACAAAGATTTCTTTAAAAGTTAAACTTTTTATAGATTTCCTCTAAATTCCCTATATTTTATGAGAAATTGTTTTAATTTTAGGATTTGCTTGCAGTTGGTCTTATAGTGCCATTGATTCCTAGTCATGTACGGCAACTGGGGGCAAGTCATATCTATGTGGGAATTCTGGGTTCTGTTTACTCTGGATTTCAATTGGGTTCAGGTCCATTAATTGTAAGTATTATTTATATTATATGATCATAGTTTTACAACTTAAAATAATGTAATTATTTATAAAAATGCAATTTATTTACAGGGTAGTTTAAGCGACTTAAAAGGATGTAGAAGTATACTAATTTACACATTGGTAATATGTGGAGCTGCCTATTTCTGTATGGGCTTCACAACATCAGTTGCTGTTATTATTGTTTTACGAGCAGTTTTAGGTACTATGTAATTCTTAGTGTATTTTATTAACTTCTTGCATAACATTTATCTATAATATATTTTTATTAGCAATGTACATGAACATATTGATGGCTACAGTTTAAGAAAACCAGCTTTTAATATGATTGTAAGCCTAGCTCTTTCAGTTGAAGGTCACACTTAATGCAAATAACCTGTTTATTGTAACTCATACATTATACATTGCCTGTACTGCTGTCTTAATACCTATAAGTTTGCAACATATTCTCTTACAGGATTATTTAAACAGACTCAGTTACTAACAAAAGCTTTGGTTCCTGAATATGAGAAGAATGAGAAACAGCAATCAGCTATCTTTGGGAAAATGGCTGCTATATCAGGAATGGGAATGACACTGGGGCCCATTATTGGGGGACATATGGCTGAAGATTTTCCTGAAAAGGGTTTTTTATATATTTCAATTATAGTCGCTATGTGCTTTATTCTTAATGCAGGTCGTTAAAAACTCATTCATATTATATTATGTCTATAGTTAATAAAACAGGGCTGCTGTAAAAAAATCCGAAATGTGAGGGCATAGTTAAAAATTGAAAATTAGTGTATATAATACATTTTGCGGTTTAATTCTATAAATTTTTTATTTGAAAACTCTTAACTTATTATTTTTAGTAACTAAAATGTTTATTCCAGGTTGTGTGTTTTTGCTACCACAAGCTATTATAAAAAAAAAGAGTAAAGCAGATGAGAAGAAACAGTCTGATCAAAATGTTTTTCAAAAGATCTATAACAATAGTAAGGAGTCTGCACTTGAATTATCTAAAGTAGACTGGTCACAATATTGGGAGGTGTTTATTTTTAAGGCACTGCTAGGTTTTGCTATGGGTGTATATTATTCAAATTATGCTTTATACTTAAAATCGCAATATGAATTATCACCTAAACATATTGGATATGTTATATCATTCCAAGGCATAATAGGTGCTGTCTCTAGTTTTTTAATGGGTTATATCAATAGTTATTACCCTCATGATAAAGATTTTAGTCAAAGAAATTATCATGTATTCCTACTTCTGTCTTTTTCAATTTTAGGACTCTGTATGTCCTCAAATATATTGTTCTATTCCTTATGGTTAATTCCTATGTCTATAGGAAATGCTGTAGGCCGATTAGTTACTTTAGAAATGATTTTAAGAAAAAGTGATAGGGAGCACAAGGGTACATTAATAGGTGCTTCAAATAGTGTAGCCTCTTTATCTGGTGTCATGTCACCAATGGCTGCAGGACTTATTGGTCAGTACTTAGGAGTTAAATATGTTATATATGCATCGCTATGCTCAAATGTTTTAGCACTTATTTTAAGTTACAGATATAAAAGCAGACATGTTAAAGTGGATTAAACCACTATAAATGAAAGTATGAAATAAATTTTTTATCTTTACAATATGTTAGTTCTTTTAATTCTCAAAAATAAAAGATACATTTAACAAAAAAAACTTTATTTTGTAGCTATATACATTTTAAACTAGTCCCTTAAAATTAATTTTAACCTGGTTGAGCTTAGTCATCTAATGATTGAATCTGTTTCTTCCTCATTTCCCTAACAAGGTTCTGGAAAGCTTCTCTATCTTTTATATTCTCAGGGGGCATAATTTGTCGTTTTGTGTTTGTTACCCACTCTTCAAAATATGTTGGCTGGTTAAAATAGAAGAACAATGCCACTGGGAATGATGTGTACATAGCCATTCTTGCAACCTCTAATTTCCAATTACCCATTTTTGTAATAAAGAAGAAATTTTTATAATTTTGTATTTAGTAATCTAAATCTGCGATAATTTTAAATGACAGATTTTAAGTTTACGTGATTAATGACAAGTTAGTGTTGTTGGGTAACGAGAACAACAAAATGACAATTGTCACGTACGATCTACAGATCTACACTTTAAAGAAAGATTATATATTTTTAATTACTGTTAAAATATTATGTTTTTATTTTTAAGATTTTGGCTTCATATCATGTAAAAAAATTATAAGACAAGTTAAACCTTTTACTGCTCTGACTATATACCGATTTTAATGGAATCTTATTTCGAAAACAAATACGATAGTATTGAAAAAGTTTAATTTGTATATACCTAGATTATTACATAATATTGAACACTAGATTATTTATTGCCTCTTTATTATAATAAATTAGGATGTTAATTTAGATATCAATTAATCTCGTTAGGTTCAAAGTTCTATGTTTACACTAAGTCGCATTAAGTTTTATTATGGAACACTCATTATGGTATCTAAACCACACATTGCAGACGATATTAGGTACCTGTCGGTCCTGCTATTCTAAGGCTATAATAACATGAAATCCTAGGGAGGGCATTTACGTTTGCATTACCTATCAGCAATCAGATGCCGTGCGGGCGGAACGTGCTGAGTGCTAATGTAAGACCGGCACGATTCCGATTTGTTATCAACGCCATTGGAACCCGTAAGGGCTTTTATGCTTTTCACCTTAAATTGCTTAAGCAGAAGAAGCTAATTCCCTGTCAGCTTTCCAACTGTACAGTTAGATCTGAACAAGATCATTTTGAACATTGTATATTCGTTACTAGCTGACCAGACAACCGTTCTTTTGCTATAATGTGAAGTATTTCGGCAAAATATTTTGATTACCATTAATCGGTTCTAGTGAGTTAATATTAAAGATAGATATATTATTGCTGACATTGGTTTTTGATTATTAAAAGAATTTTTTTTTTTATTTGTTGGTTATTATTGTACCCTTTACACGGTATATTTGTACCGAGTAGGTACCGACTCAACAAAAACGCTCAAAGAAGAATAATTTTTCGCGTTTTTTCCACATTTTCCTTTGGAGCGCAGGACTGTAAACATTTTATAGCCTCAGTTCAAACCAGTAGTTCCCGAGATTAGCGCGTTCAAACAAACTCTTCAGCTTTATAATTTTTGTATAGATCTAGATATGTACGACAAATAATTTAAAAATATTAGGATGTCATTCGTCTATTGAAGACATGTGCAGAAACCGGCTGTCGGCATTGTCCATTGTCTATTAGAAAATTAAAATAATAAATCTATGTTTAAAAAAAAAATTAAGTTAAATTAAAAACTTTCAATTCATTGTGGCCACAGTTGCTGTATAGCATTCATAACTTAGGTGGTGTTTAGATAATGATAACTTATTTCAACTAAAGAAATAAAATAGAAAACAAACATTTATAATTAGTAACACTTCGTGTTTTAAACTATTTAAATTTAAATGTATCTGTAAATATTTTGCGAGTTGTGAATATTTTAATAACCATTAACACTAAATTCTATATTCACAAAAGTACTTACCTTACAAGTATAAAAAAACTTAACATTGTAAGGAAGAGAATAAATTGATATAAACTTCATAACAAGATCGATACATTCAGAATGATGTTTTTTAAAACTCATCAATTTTGAAAGCATTCTTATCTGCAGCAGTTATGAGGCATTGCTCCCTTTGATATTTAAATTTGTGTTGGAATCAGCTCCATCATCTCGAATTATAATGAGGCGTGGAATGACAAACTACCCTCTTTCATCAACGCCCACTGATTGTCACTGCATTAAAGTGTGGGAACTGGAAAGATTCTAATATTGATTATTATTAATAATAATAATAGTTGTTACATTCGGAGGATTATAACTTTTTTGGATATTAGTATTGGAATAATAAATGGATAATTGTAACAAAAATGACATGATTTTTCTGTTTAAATAAAACGCTTGGCTGGCTTTGCAGCAGCCGGCTGCTGCAAAGCATTCGAATCGTCGGCCCGAAGTTAAAAATCATTTTCAAATAAATTTAAGTACTATATCGCGTTTTAAACCGATAAAGTGTTTTATTTAATGTTTACTACTCGCGTAAACTATAGACAGTATATGATTTTTCTGTATTATTATCGAAAATAAAATAAATATAGTTTTGGCGAAATGTCGAAATTTTTGAAAAGAGTTTTTCGTTGCATCATTGTCAGATACAAAGACTTGGATCGCATTTACGTATCAATCATCTTACAGGAATCGTGAGACGACCGATACGATAGTTGCGCATCCAGCCTCAGGTTAACTGTAACAGACATCTCTCATTTAAAGTACATACAGTCTCTCCTAAAATAGGAACTATTCTATCGTTCTAACAGCATATTATGCCCCCGCAAACCCATTCTAATAACCTGGAATAACTCTAAAACGCAATGATTCTCTTGTGAGATAGATTTCATAAAGTAGTTATGGGCAGAAACTTTATAAACCTTTTATAGAGTGAAGTTGTTGCCACAGATAACACAGGTATGACAAAATATCGTTTATGCATAGACCAAACGATTTCAATATACAAAATTATAATTACGACAATCGATTATGTCATTATTATTTACTCGACGTTTGTAACGCATTTCAGCGATAATGCACGAATGGGAGTTTTACGTACTACTTATTTTATATTGAATTTGCGCACATCTCATACCTATGTCATCTCATTCAAATGATATTTCAATCTGTTCTTTTACGTCAATAAATTAAGTAAGTTTAGTAAACAGTGTCTCAAAGTATTTTTAGTGTAAATTAATGAAAACCTTGGGAGAAAATTACGATTTCTTGAAATTTGTGTGTTTGTTTACAAAAAATGCCAAGTTAGAAAAATGTTACTGTAAACACACCTATATAGTTGTAGATGTTCACACACGATAATACATATTTTTCGATGGCCTCACTCTTTAATCCTGATCGTCAATTGTCAATTATGACATTGATTATAGACAGATGACACATGTGAATTTACCACAGACACAAGTGAATTCAAAGGTACTATGTCGTACATTATCAGGTACATTATCAATATTTATTTTTACGCTTGTGCCAATAAAATAAAACAATAGGTAGAAAATGTCTCCAATTACTCAGGCTATGATTGATCAAATCGTCAAAGAATGTTTACAATCATTTCAGTCCTTACCTAAAACGGGGAAGCCTCTTAATTGCGAATGGACTGTTCTGACTTGTATAATCCAACGAAACACAGAAAGTGGAAAATACAGAGTGGTATCAATCGGTACTGGATCAAAATGCATTGGAGCCACAAAAATGTGTCCCGCGGGTTATATTTTAAATGATAGTCACGCAGAAGTAATGGCTCGTCGAGGGTTTCTCCTATATTTGTATCAAAATATTGAATTGTGCTTGGATAATAAAAATTCCATATTTCAATTGGTTGACTCAAAGTGTAAATTAAAGGAAAACATTGAATTTATTTTCTATTGCTCTCAACTACCCTGTGGAGACGCATCTATTGTTTGTAAAGATGAGGTTAGTGATGAAATTGGTGATATCATTCCATCTATGAAGAGGTCAATTCAAGATACTGGAAATGAATGTGAGGAGAAGAGATCTAGATTAGACATACACAGGACAGGTGCAAAATGCCTACAAGACTCGATTCAGGATCTTAAGTTACCTGGTGCAGAATACCATATTTTAGGACAAGTAAGAACAAAACCAGGCAGAGGGGACAGAACATTATCTGTGTCATGTAGTGATAAAATAGCTCGTTGGATCCATTTAGGTATTCAAGGAAGCTTAATTTCACTTTTAATGGATGAACCAATTGTCCTAAACCATTATATATTTGGAAATGGTGTACCTTATTCAGTGGACAGCCTTAAGAGGGCATTGTGTATGAGGAATTTAAAAATTATAGAATCTATATCCAATGTACATTTTTATCAGAGCACAATCACTTTTCCATATATCAAAACAGAAGAATGCTTAAGGCCTGCACCATGCAGTATTGTTTATATAGATATACATAGTGGGTGAGTAAAAAATTTTAATAGCAATGATTTTGTAACTATTAAAAACTGCTTAACTTCTCTGATCTTTGACACTTGTGTGATGTAAATGCATTTTTGATTTTTTTGGGACAACTACTGGTAGTCTTAGCTTTGAAGCTTCATGTTAAGAAAGACAGGGTACGAAAGACAGATAAATAAGTAGTCTGAAAATAAAATTAGACACTGAATAGAATCCATCCCTACTAATGTACAAAATTAAATTTCAGAAGTGCTTACTGTTTCTACTATGTATAAGTAGCTTTAAAATGAAGAGCAAATAAAAGTTATACTTATTTTTAGGACTTCCGAAGTTGCCGTGCAAGGAAAAAAGCTTGGAGTGACCAAAAAGCAAAAACAATCATTGTGTATTTACTTATGCATATGTAAATATAATTTATATAAAAGGTTTCAAGAAATTTTGGTGAAGAATAAAACGTGGTGTGAAGAAATATGTGGATCAACTTCATTGCAAAATATTTGTTATAATGAAATGAAACAAAAATCAGTAAAATATAATAATAAATGGAAAGAAATCAAACATTCGTTCTTTCAAAGGTGGACTGTTAAACCAGATATATTTGCTTTTAAAGTATCTTAGTAATAAATAACCTTAAAAAAATCTTAAGTTATTTTACACACTTTATATTTTTGGTGAACCCTTTTACATTCAAAGCAAATTAATTGAGTCTTTTAATAATATATATCTTAAATACTTTTTAGTTAGATAATAGTAGTTTTAATTGTCACGGTTATACAAAATGATATAAGACTGATTATACATAGTTCAAATCTACCTATTTACCAACTGTAATTTAAATTTTTCAATATTATCATCCTTATTTGAGCTGGAACACTCTACGAACGTGAATATGAAGTTAGCAATTCGTTTACACCAAGTACCGTACGTGATTACGTTCACTACTTAAATTGAGATTTTGTGTTATAAGTTTGAAATGAGCTGCACTAAAAAAATGGTCTCCATGCTCGTTAGGTATAGTTAATGTGATATAAATTAAAGATCGATTATAAATTGAACTGGCATCCACAGCGTTCCGTGTTCTATTGTGATATACAAAAACTTAGAACTGTTTTGCTCTAGAGACAATACAGCCTCATTTATCAAAATTGTTTTGAAGTTCTATGTAACAATATTTCAAATAAATCCCCGTAAGGAGGGCCACCTGCAAACAATGGAACCTTTCAAGGATCTGTATCATTGTGTAGGTAGGTATTAAGGTTTTATTAAAACAAATTGCTATATGTAGACGAAACAAGCGCGCGTCCCGTGTATTGCGCCTACGCAAAGCTTTATCATTTGAGTACCTATTGGTATGCACTTTTATTGTAATCCGTAGATTTTATGAGGCGCTTCCTTCTATGGTTAGATAAACACTTATTGTTTATTTATTGCCAGTGTAGTGGTAAGATTATATTTACTTTTTATAGCAGATTCCCACCACTTACGTGACTCAGTGGAAAAATACTAATTTTTATTATATTATAAGCAATAGCTCCTGTTTTCGGATACCACAAAAAAAGCAATTAATTGTTTGGATTATGTTCACAATCCGCTTGTCTGTTCATACAATTTATATTTGAAACATGCCAAGTAATTTGTTAGCCTACGAAGACCTACCTTGTTACCTATTACTATAATTATAAGTCATGTTTGTGTAAAATTCCGTTTAAACACATTTCAGTGTCCATCATTGATCAATTGGTATTCACGGGTAATTTTGATGAAGTTTCTGCCCCCTGCTCAACTAAAACAATTTATTGACAAGGATTATATCCCAGGACTTTTCGTGCTTAACGCAATAGGCTACATGTTTGATCATTGCGTTTGACAGTCTATAAAATCATGTTTACTCCTTATAAATCTGACACGTCTTGTATTTAAGTCCACGTTCCGAATTTATACTTTTTAGCTCGTGCGAAAAATAACTGGGTGTCAATTAATTGGTAAGCGCGATCGTAGCAACTTTCTGAATGTACTCGTTATGTTGAGATGAGATTTGTAGTTTGGTAAGCTCATTATAGTGCGAAGTTAACACCCAGATTTACATTTTTGCATTTTGACGAGAATCAAACCGATTCGCCCGGCCCAAACCGTGTTAAGTTTCACCCACTTTCTACCGGAAAGCAATTAAAAATAATTTGCATTTCTCCTTGTAGTAGGTATACCTAATTGTCGCTGTCCGTTTTGTAACGAGATCTTTAATTAGTTTTGTCTAAAACACGAGAGATATCTTATTTAATATAATACTAACTATTTTATTTATTATTATTTAGGTACATTATAGTGAAACATATAAAAAAAGTTTTCAGCTGACGACTTGTCGCCTGGTCGATTACCACAATAACGCCAAAATATATAATAACTAGCTGTGTCAGCAACTTCGTACGCGAGAATCGTTATTTTGGGTTAGCTGTTACCCACGACGTCGGTTGCGTCCTTTCCCGTCGTTTTTGCAAGTTTTTAAATAATTTAAAGAGGAATCATTCTTTCATACATATCTTGAACCGTTTTTTCCCCATTTCTTTTTTCACATTTTCGCTGTCTCTTCGCTTGTATTAGTCACATGGCAAAGTTTTATAGGCTTCCTCAATAAATGTCTAACCAACAAAAAAAAAATTTCAATTCGAATTCGTAGTTCCTGACATTAGCGCGTTCAAACATACAAACAAATAAACTCTTCAGCTTTATATATTAGTATAGATAAAAGCTTATTTTATTATGATAAACAAAAACATCTGGCTATAATTAATAGTTAAGACTTCTTTACGATTATAAAGTGAAATTCAGGAACATGTCGATTTTGTAATATTATGACAGGGAGTTTAGACATATTTTTACCGAAAAATTCCTTTCACCGATAAATGCAAAAGAGAATAATCATTGTTTAAACTCTAGATGTTATCTACATTATCTAGTAACAGCTTGCTATTTACTATAGTCACAACAGTATGTAGAGGCTATTAAAGATGATTTATCACAAATGTTAGGTATTTAAAGCTTAGTTGGCTTAGTTCATAAGTTTAGTCTGCCTTCGAGCTATGACAGGACAATGGGTGCGCTTACCAAGTGGATCACAACAGGTGTGCGCATAATGTTCCCGGATTTTATAGTCCGTTAAAAATATAATATCTAGATTTTACGTTCAAGGGTAAGAAATTTTGATTTTCGATGATCTATTAGTATATTGTAATTTACCATTAGTCGGGGTTTCCTCTCTCAAGGAAATTAGATTCCACAATACCGTTTCAGTGTGAGTTGGCGGGTCCCAACCAGAAGCAGGGCTTGGTGGTGTTACACGTCCCTCTTCAATATGGGTGCTGGTATTCGAATTTCAAATATCGAATATATCGCCTGACCCAGAATGCGAACCCCGAACCTCATAATAACACCTAATTATCGCAAAGCATTGTAAAATTTGTAATTTATGAATAGCAAATATAACGGTCCGGCCATAAATTGGATGTTCTCCGTGGTTTTAGCTATCGAGCAGTGAGGGGTGTGCCCGATCACGACTCAATGTTTATCCACGACAAATTGCTACGCTCAAATCCTAAAGAAAGCTGACACCACCTACCACCGGCTTCATAAATAATATCTGACATTTAAAATGCAGTCGCCATTATTCAATGTTAACTTTCTGCATATCAGCAAACTTTTTAAGCAAAGGTTAAGTAATCAATTTTCAATCAGTTTTTCTTTTACGCAAACCGTAATTGACGGCGCACAGTTTGCAAGTAACAGGTGTATATTCTTCTTTGCACAATATCTATATATGAAGATGAGTCACCACTGCATTTTCCTTGCTTATCCATTTAAGGAACTAAACTATCGCGGTTAGAACCAGTAAAAACTAAAAAGAGTTCGCGATAAAACCAGTAAGGAATCTGTACCCTAGCAGTTTCCAATCCATGTACAGCATTTTACAGTTATATTGCTGTGTGGTCTATTTGCCGAGCCAACTGTGTCGTTTTGAAGATAAATTGGTCAATATGGATGAACGTTGGATCTACGACCATCAGTTCCGGAGCTATTTCGTGCTGGTATTGACGGATTTAGGTTAAATGTATTTTAAAAGCGGGCCGAAGAAGGATACTTAATGTAATCCCTTCGCAATCGTGTCTCATACAGTATAAAACGCTACATTTACACACTGTAAGGCCAATTGGATTTATTGGGCAGTAAATAAGACGATACTTTACAAAAAGTACTTGTTCACACCTTTTCAATTATCGTAAGTGCGTATTATATTTACTGTTAATTTCCAAAGGACGGTTATGGGTGTCGGAGATGAAATCATATCATGTAATAATAATTTAACAATGGACATTTTCATAAAAAAATATTGACCCAAGAGAATAAATATAACAGTTATGGCAGTTTATTATCTGTACACCCAAATACCAGCTAACATGTTGGCAAAGTAAATAGTTATTTTCAAAACACGTTGATTGACTGAATATTATCTATGTAAATATTTTATCAAAAAATAAACTAATATGTTAAAAAAAATCTACAGTTTGCTAACAGTATCTCGCTATCGTAATATGTTAAAAATTAAAAAAGGATCTTGCATTGCATAGCTGTAACGAAAATTCTTCCCCATTTTCTTTAAAGACGAAGTTACTCATAGTAATGTAAATCGAGTACTAGGATATTGTTCATATTTAATAAAAGTACAAGTAAACAAACATGCAGACATGTAAATTAAATTAAAAAAGGTTAAACTTCCTGTTCGTTGTAGTTATAAGTAATCTCACAGAAATAATTGATCTTCGAATTAACACGATGCATTTCGTTTTCAACGCCACATCCTTGGCTCAGATTCCCGTTTGATTACATAAATAATGTTCAGAATTGAATGTCTTGATTATTTATTTAACTTCCTGAGGTAAAGCCAATTATCTCTTTTAGACTTGTCCTCGTCATTGGTGCCTTAGTTTAGACGGATATTGAATTTGCTGAGATAGTTTTTACTACCTGCAGTTGGAAACGCAAATTATTAAAAAATATATTAGGGATAAGACAGCGGTATTGAAATAAAAGTAAGGTGTCGAGAAAAGATGAGTTGTTAAAAACAAATACATATTTCTAGAACTTATTGGTTTTTAGGGCTAAGAAAAGTTTAATCGCCGTTTGTAAAAAAATACAAATACCCTAAGTTAGTCTTGGTTAGTTTAGTTAGTAAGTAAATAATTTTAGTTCATAAAGAACTCGTGTTAATATTTACGTATGTAACTTATGTTGAAAACTTATTTTTGCCTGTAGTTACCGCGAGTAGTACACATTTAAATAATAAACACGTAACACGAATACGTTTAACTAATACATTTCGCGTTTTAAACCGTTAAAGTGTTTTATTATTTTTTATGTTACGTTTTCAATAATACACACAAAAAATCTTACTAGCGTATTACAATTTAATTTTCGTCCATACCATACTTTGCAGGAAGGTGCCTTGTGGACAATTATAATTTACGAGAAAGATGATACGCTACAGAACAACCAAAGGTCCCATCAAGGTAAGGTAAAAATAACAGATGTAACTCATCTTACAAACATAAATCATTCGCACGCACTGAATTATCGAACAAATGAAGACGTGTGTACAATTACAGAATAATTAACCTTCAGAAATGAAAAGTATTACTTTACTCAGTGGAAATGTTAAACCATCAATGTTAATGTTACCCATCCATTACACCACTTTTCAATCAAATGTATTGACCATTAGATTTTAGTACTAGATGTTACCAAGACATTTTTAATCGCTATAATTTTCACATGTTTAAACGAATTCAATATTTTCTTAGCTTTACACAAACGGGGCACAATCCACGACCCGGTTCTCCGATAGAATTAAATTTTACCAATCCTTTGTATGCATGATACTAATGTATCGTGGCAAACAATAATGTTTGTGCCAAAGAAATATTCATTACTAAATACACTCCCCAAATGTAACTCTCCTCAATAAAGCCGCGGTCGAGTAAAAATTGACACAATAAGATATGTCCCTTGATTTCAATTAACATAAACTTGTTTTATTGCATGTGTGTTTTCAAAAGAGAGCAGGATAAATAATGTTTTGCGGTTATCTCGCGGCCCGATCTTGAACCATTAATTTTTAACAATGCGGCTGCTCGCGCCAGTAAAGGAACCTTTCAACTTTATATTTTTTGAAGTATTATTGTTATATGGAATTTAATTATTCAAAAATTAATTAATAATATAACATGAATATGTTTTCAGATAAGCTTTAGTTTAGTAATGTGAATTATCATATTATATAGTTATAGTAACTTTTCGCCCCCATAAAATTTTGAAGAAGTATCTTTTAAGCTTTCGTCTAATTATTATTATTATAAATTCTTTATTTCACACTAATCTTGCCTAGAATCATTAATACTAAGAAAAATAACCTAAAACCATGGATAAAACTAAAAATAATGAATAAAAGAAAACAATAAACAAAATACATCGATTAAAATAAGAGGAAAGTTTAAATGGGATATATTTTAGTTTAGAAAATTATTTTTAACTACGGCATAACGTTTCGTCTCTCCGTGACCACGGCAACTGCTGCAAACGAAATGTCGAGCCGTAGTTAAAAATATTTTTTCAAACAAGTTTAACTAAAATATATCACGCTTTAAACCGTTAAAGTGTTTTATTTCAATGTGCACTACTCGCGTAAACTACAGACAGTATTAAATAAGGGGACAGACATATTAACTAACGCATGTTGTTTGGCAGAGACAAAAGACTAGAAGTCTGAATTGAAGGCAAACATGTCTGTTTGTTGTTGCTTTTAAAATAAGCCTAAAACAATAAGTAAAATAAATCAATAAACGAGGTGCATTTAATTTTTAAATTTAATAAAAAAAATGTACTACAATTATAAAGCCGATAAGATTAGGTGCAAGCCTATTGTATTGCGTTGTTTGTTTTGTAATTGTTAACCTGTTTGAAGGCTTAGATGTATAGATATGTATTGTTTAATGCAAGTGTGAACAGCGCCTTAACCGTAGAGTCAAATAAACGAGTTCTGACACGCGATATTTACGAAATCTACTCACGACAGAAGTATATAGGCATTTATTGACATTGTTGCCCAAGCTGATAAGTAATTTAATTAGATCGGCCATAATTGAATATCGAAAACATGACACGGATTGATGAAAACGAAATGTTTAACGCCAATAACGTTCAACACTTACAATAAATAACGCTGCAAAGTTTTATGTAATTGTTGCACAAGACAACTTTATGGTTTCATCTTTCATTGAAATATAAGCCGACTTTTGTAACAGGATTTGATGACAAGGAGAATGTCTTTATGCCATTTTTAAAATCTGACGCACTACTAAAATGTTTTAAAACTATTTATCATAGGAAATCTTTGATATTGTACAGATGTAATCGTATAAGAATTTATTCATCATGGAATGTAATTTACATGTTTAAATAAAACGTAAATAACTGTTTAAAGTGAAATATATGACTTAACTTAATTTTTTATTTACTACAGCCAGTATGAAATTGCTCATGCAGTTGTCAAACTATACTTAATGTCTCTTAGTTATAAGTGAAATAATATACAGTATAATTGGGACCCCTGGACGTAGAGATATTACATTTTCTTTTATACCCAACGTGTTTTTCCGGGATCCTAGCTAAATTCACATCTATCATAATTAGTCTAGCTATATAGGTGTCAATGACATTTGATGAGCTCATTGGTGTAACGGTAGCAATGGACGGCTAATAATCAATGGGTCGCGGGTTCGATTCATACCGGTCCAAGATATGACTAATTTTTTAATTCATGTTGGACTTCGTCAGGAAACCTGGGTATTAAATAGCTGATAGAAATATCGAAATTCCGTCCGGGTCACGACCTACGTCCAGACAGACGAAAAAGCCGTGAAGTTTTATAACGTTTGGTTTCAGTCCGTGGATTTCGGAATATCCAAAGCCTAAATAGGGCGACAGCGCATCTTGTATAGATACTATAGGCTGGGGTTTTTCACTTACCAACAAGTGAATCCTTTGTCCTCCTCTATTATTTAAGAAAATCTATCTTTTCACACAATAGCATTTGTAATAATTATAGTAGTATAATAAATAGTGAATGAAAAGGCTCTATCGACACTTCTGATTGCATAAACGTAAATCTAGGAAGTCGTAGTAACGATTAATTTCAGTCGGGAAGCCAAGCTTTTTTCGACCCGACGCTCCTTAATGAGAGAAACTGACTAGAGTTAACTTATATGCAAATTCGTTTTCTTCGCTTTAAAGTTCATACGTTTGATATATTAGGCGTTAATGAGGGAGACATTTACCATTTACAACTTAATATGAATAGACTTGGACGCTGTGTTATATTCAAGTCCGTGTATATATTTATATAATTTGTATTTGTGACAACGAAGTGATTTAAGTAGATAAATATAGAAAACTTTAAAATCTTTCACATGTTATGCACACGGTGGCTCTATATAAAATAAAAATCGATCATAGGTGGAAAAAATTACGACACTTGAACCGGCATCCACAGCGTTCCGTACTGTTAATTAATTAAGCCTTGAATTTGTTTTGTTAATTAGTAATAGGTAAATTAAAGGTTAATTATATAACAGCCAAAAGAAATAACAATATAGCCGAGATTTAATTTGATACAATATTGTGTCTGCGTTTGATACCTTACAGTTATTTTGTACTAGCAATTAAAACTTTGTGTCACGCACTTCACAATAACGTGAAACGCATCCAGTCTATATTTAACGCAGTAGCATAAAATACATTCTCATTTCAAAAGCATCGAGAGGTGTTAATTAGCGAGGCAGAGCTGAGCTATTTGTCTAAGTCCAGTGCTATACGTAGGACGTCCAGAAGCACGTGGGCGGTAGAGATCCAATTACGTCCCTAGCAAATTAATTTATGGCGACGGGCGCCTCAGAGCCGCTCTCACCTTGACACGTTCGACGGACCCAATCTGGATGGACCCCGCGACAGGTTTACGCGAGCCCTAAAGTAAAGGCTTAAGGATTTAATCATTACTTTCGCCCGCTTTCTGTAAGGAATGCGATAAATTCACAAATATCAAATTACCGCGAGCCGGTTTCAACGGACCGAGGCGTTAATTTCATCGATTAGTGCACTGAAATTAATCGTAATAAAAATAATCGATTGCTTATCACCGCAAATCAAAGTACGATTCTCAACACCATCAAACGACGTCATTGCCTGATAATACGTATTGAGATAATGATTCCTGCATTCCATTATTCCATATAGCGTGCGCATACGTAAAACTAGAACGGAGGTTGTGTCGGAGGCTGCGCTTGCGCTTTTGATGTAAGCGAGGACCGAGATGCCGGCAGTCGCATAAGAAACTGTGCGGCGGATAGTCGACGCAATATTGTGCGCTGAACACCGCTGTCGGCCGGCCGCTTTCTCGAAATTATTTACGATAACCGTTCGCCTACTCCTTACAATAATTACATGTGTTTCGTGATAGTGGGTACATTTATGTGGTTCGATTAGTATGATGGCTTTTTAAAATAATTTTAAGACTGTGCGAGAATTAAAAACTGTCCAAATGAAGATGACGGTAAATCGAATAAGAGTGGTGGTGCTGGGCAGTCCGCGAAGTGGAAAGTCGGGTCAGTATAAGAGTTTTCTTATTACACGTTTTCTGGAATAATATTAAAATTAATACGTATTTGCACAACACTGAAAAAACTCGTATCAATAAACTCGAACGATCGAAGTGTTTTACGAAATTCTCAACACGGACAAGACGTCGTTTTAAATTTTTAAAAGTGTGACATCTGTATCAGCATTTCGGTGTTTGTAGGTCAATGTATATAGCGAAACTGTATATCCTCAATCACCTAAAATGCTATAAAATAAACCTGCATGTATGCCAATTGCTTACCTTTTGTGGCTCGAAAACGAGATCGTAGTCTTATAATTTTTTTATGTATTTGCAATTCTGTCTTTTTTTATTATTTAACGCTTATTTATTTGCATACTTAAACCAATTATTTCAATTGTAAAAATATTGCAAACAAGAGCGTATTTATTATTTACGTTCTGAATTCTTTAAAAAGTGATTATCCAATTTGTTACTGAAAACAAATACAATAATATAGCAAATATATGTACTGTATTTTCTATTCCTTATCATTAATAAATATATATTTTGCATTAAATTATCATTGCATTTAAAATAGTCATAAATTACATGACGTGATCGTCGCATATTTACATCATAGTGTCATTGCATTCCTTTTGAGGACAATCTTCAGTGAGATTGACGTGCAGTGAGCAATTATCATAATGATGCAGAGAAAACAAAGAAACTAACGTATTAATTTTATAAATTGTGTGCATTATGTAAAAATAATTATCGTAATGTACGAGGTGGATCAACGACCTCGAAGTCTTAAATGGTTGAATGGTCGTTTAAGTTACACAACGTGGTTTGGCGCCGGGCGTCGGGAAAACGCTTGACCCAGCGGCCTCGACTCTTGTAATTGCGCCGCCCTAATTGTTACTTGCTGAACTGAAAATGCACTAGACGATCGGATGCACTTTTAAAGATCCTGTCGCGTGTTTGAGGCGGTCTCGCCGCTTTTAATGGCGCCTGGCTCGCGGATACGACCGACTTGGATTGACTTCTTACTCTCGATTCTAGTTAGAGTTATTGCACTCCGTGGAGTTGTACGAACTTTTTTGTTTGTTGTTTTATAGTCTATGAGAACATTTAAATTCAAAGACCCGTGTGCTTATAGAATTAATAAATTTAAAAACTTAAATAACGTCTGTAGCTTACGCGAGTATTACAAATTTAAATAAAACACTTTCAACGTCTTAAAACGCGATATATTCGTTAAACGGGGAGACTCCCCGTGACCACGGCTGCTGCAAAGCATCCGAAACGTCGGGCCGAAGTTAAAAATCATTTTCAAATAATTTTAACTAATATATCGCGTTTTAAACCGTTAAAGTGTTTTATTTAAATGTGTACTACTCCCGTAAAGTATAGACAGTATTTAACGCAAAATATGTTAGTTAAACTTCACAGCCACGGCAGCTGCAATGTATCCGTTAGGTCGTAGTTAAAAATAATTTGTAAACAAGTTTAACTAATATATTTCGTGTTTTAAACCGTCGAAGTCTTATATTTAAAGTTTAAAGAGTTATACAGCGTACATTTTTAAATTGGACGTTCCTTTTTCAAATGTATGTTCAATAAAAAAAATGCAATTCTTATAAAACATCGTATAGTATTTATCGTACCAAAAACTTAAAAAATTATCGAAAATATATATCAATTGTTTTTTTACTGGGTTACATTTTATAAAGTTGCACATTATTATAACCTAACTGCATCGAGGAACATCGGAGAAGCATGCGAGCGAAAGCTGACGCGGATCGAGTTATTTTTAGAACATGACATAATTGCGATCATTAAGTTCGCTGTGCTCGTAAATATGAGAATGAGATGTGTTTCATAAGTTGACCTCTTCGGAAACCCAATTGATCAAGCGGACACAATAATATATGTAAAATTATGCTGTACTTCATTTGCGTTTATCACGATCAATTAGGTTTAAGTAGAACTCCGGAAATTGTACACACTATTGTGTATTATAAGGAATAAAACGGCTAGAGTATAAAAGATCACAAATGAAAACTATATTATAATTTTTCTAAGTATTATTCTTAATCTGACTATAAAAGATTCTTTATATATATATTTTTAATATCAATGAAGCATGACTAACAACATATTAAAATAAAATTAAGAATCCACGAGCACACTTTAACGGTTTAAAACGCAATATATTAGTAAAACTTATTTGAATAAATGACTGCCCGTCATTTCGGATACTTCGCAGCAGCTGTGGTCGCGGGGAGACTCAAAGCATTCGAAACGTCGGGGCGCAGTTAAAATAGTTAAACTAATATATATCGCGTTTAAAACCGTTAAAGTGTTTATATAAATATGTACTCGCGTAAACTACAGACAGTTTTTAATCCGAAAGAAAACAAGATGGCGTTCTTTCCTGACTATTATAATCTAGTTGGCTTTGATTTAAATAAAATATTACAAACATTAAAAGAATCGCGCGTTATATATGCGTTGATATTGATAGGCCCTGTCAGCAATACAATTGGAAACAAAACTGTATAACGGTTAACATCTTAATGGTTTTTGGTGACCTTTAGAGAAACACCATACTTCAGCGTGTGTCTTGTCCGGTCGAGTGATGGATGATGGCAGTAATCTATTAATTACCTATAGATTCTCTGGCTACATCTATTGTTCCTACGGGCAATCAATCAACGCAACAGTGCTATGTTGTTTCGTTACTGTAATTTGTCTTTAACGGTTAAATGATTTTGATATGGAAAAAATGAATATTAGATTACGTTGGTTACAACGGAGGTACTGATAAAGTTGACGAGACTTTTATTAGTGTTTTACTTGTGTTTGAGATAAGTAGAGGTGGCTGTGTGATAAAGTTATACTGTTTTTTGTTTCTCTATTTAATCGTCTCATAATCCAATAGAAACAATCATCGTGAAATGGTTTCCTAACACTTCATAACATTAAGGATGTTTCTATGAATCAATTTGATATTTATTTTCTTGGGTAGGAATATCGAAATTCGTGAACCACCACAGATGAAAAAGTCGTGAAATGTTAATCCGTTTTCAGTCTGTGACTATCCGAGTGTCCTAAGCCGAAATAGGCCGACAACGCATCTCGTTTAGACGTTGTACGTGACGTTGCGTTTCACCTTCCACTTATCTGTCAAACAAATAAATGATTAAAAAAAATAAAACTCCCCAGTCGATAGGTGAGAGAATACATCTCTACCTACTTATTACATGCATTTGGTCCTGCGAATCTCATTTAGTTCTAAAAAATTACCTCCTTATTCTTGCATATATTTTAACCCGGATCATATTATTGTTTCAGTCATAAAGAAACATTTTAATCGCTTTTTTTACTGTTTACGTTCGGAGTTCCGACTCGATCGTTTCGTTATCTCACGTAATCGGATCGCGGAGAAAGTAAGACATATTTTAATAACTCCGCATCGACGACAGAAAAAGAAATAAAACGAAAACGAGAGTGTGGTATTTTGTGCGCGCGCGCAATAAATAATGTTTGGTAATATATGGTAATATGGAGGCTTAAGCCCTCATTAGGCTTTAATGTGTATAATGGCTACTTAGCGGTTATTCAACATTGTATTACGGCGATTGTGAGTCAAATCCTCTGTAATTTTAAATTTACGATTCCTGATTGGTAATTGAGAGTTTAAGGTTTTCTCAATCGTTCTTTACAATGAATAAGTTAAAATAATATTTACGTATAAGACAGTACTTTTAAAGAAATTACAATATTTAATTAATCTATTTACACAATATATCCTGCCATACATGATAAAATCTAATTTGACAGCAAAAAATAATACTACTTAATTATATTATACTACGATACAAAAACAATATGAAAACTAAATTTTCAAAATTATTTTCTCTATTACTTGTAACAATTACGTTAAGTATTTGCTAATTCACTCCAATAATCTGTGAAAATTTTGGTGTACAATATTATACACTCGCATTGTTTGCTTGATATGTGAATAGTACTTTTCTTATAAAGACTGTAAGCCTATCGCTTTTTCAATAGCATCTATATGTCATCCTTCAAAATGATTTAATATAACATTGGGTAATAAAATTAAATTTAGTATAAGTTTCAAAGACGCATATATTAAAAACAATGCATTAAGAAACATCAAACTTGAGCTTCAATATTAAAAAGCTTTTAAGCTTACAAACCTTTCTGGCTATATTAAAAGCGTAATCGTCTGAGCGGGCTATCAGTACTTCTGTCGCAAGGTCGTAACGGAATGCTATTAATTCTGATCTCCTCAAGTTAAATATTGATTTCGAACTAGAGCACTCGTGGAATGTATTTCAAGTCCATTGTCATGCGACATTATGGCGGGGTTGCGCAAGCGCCGAGCACGCATCTGTTACGCAATTGGTTCAGCTCGTGACTTCGACGATCCAATCTTATCGATCGACAATTATAAAAGAAATTTAGAATCGATGGTTACAATAGGAGCTTTCTTTGCGTCAGCTGCGTCCTGAAAATCTCATTATAACTATGTCTTATGTAATAGGCGCACTTGTTCATTATGTATATCTTGTTATACTCTAACGTAATCCAAACGCTATACAGGTATTGTTTACATTTCCCTATAATATAAAGTTACATATTATTATAGATTCCTTATTAAATAAATATTTTTTAACAAGGAATCTATAATGTCTTATTTCTAACTTAAGATTTGTACTACACAAATACACAATTGACATAAAATCGTGATTGACATTGAATCATACTACCTAAAAGGACAGATTAAAATTTCCTAAGTTTGACATTTCCACAGGGGCGGGGATATAGGCAAAGTCAACGATAATACATATAAGAAAGAAGCATGCATGATCACAAAGCATACGAAATGTCGAGTTAAATAATAAGGACGTTAAAATTTCTGTATCAATCTGTTGTTGTATAAATAAAATTAACGATGTAATGAAAAAACACCATAAAGGTGATTTTGAATACGGAGATCTTTTTTGTAGATATTTAATCACTAATTGTTTATTATCTGTGACATCAACTACGCTCTATGAAAGGTAATCACTCTATAGTTATATAGGGTCTATATAAGAAGAAAAGTGTGAAGTAAAAATAAGACTTGGCTTAAAGGTCTCGTTACCGGGCCATTAAATATTATAAAAAAAAACTCTATAGTTGGTAATCGGCCATATTTGTTGTGGTCTTTCCTCAAGTTCGATACTCTGTATGCATTTCTGTGGAAGATAGAACAATAACTGTAAAACCGATAGAAATAATTAGCCTTCGTATATTTAATGGTATTCTTATTCAAATTTATTTTAACCTTTAAATTAAATGTCACAATAATATCAATAAAATATCACATTATTATACAGTGCGTAGGTATATGTAGGCATGGTGTAGGCGATCACAAATTATAATGTTTTTACGGTCACGATGCATTGTTCGTGAACAATTATTTTCTTGAATAGCACTGCTACTAGGATCGCTCTACCAGGTCGGTAGCAATTCAAAGAAGTTGCCCGTCATCATTGTTGATAGCTATTTGTATATAGACTACGGGATACCAGGGGAGTATAACGTGAAAGGACTAATCATTACTTCGTAGAAAGTCGAGTTTAACGACCGCTTGATGACGTTCAAACAACTATTTTGTGTACTTTGTTCCTTAATACAGTACAAATAGGCCACGCTCACTTTCCAATAGAGAGGTAGGAAGTTATGTTATTTTAATTAGTGTCAATAATATTAATTAGTATTGTTTGTTGCAGCGGTGGTAGTGCGTTACCTCACGAAGCGGTATATCGGCGAATACAGCTCGACTGGCGGTGAGTTTATATTTTACATTTTAATCCTCAATATGAATTGGTACTAATATTCAATAGTTTCTAACAAATACCAGTCAAAATAACTTTAAATATAATGTAAATACTGTCTGTGAAGTTATATTAATTTTGTAATATGTATACATTCTTAAATGAAATGTCTCAGATCTAAAATTTGTTCTCGTTTGTGATGAGAAAAAGCGTATTAAGTTTTTAGCGAATTCTGTACCTGTTTCATATTTACTAATAGCGTCACGTTATCCTCGAATACGACTCGAGAAATCATCTAGTGTATCTGGGATTCGAAATCAAGACCCCCATGCATTACAATGCGACAAATGAGACACGGAGGCGGCAGGGAAGTAATAAAAGAAATGACGAAATCATTCGGGGATAGGCAGGCGCCAGAAATTACTGGAAGTGATTTTCAATAATATACGGTCAATCAAGATAAGGGAACAACATGTAAATTTTTATTCGGTTTTATTACGGCTCATTTCAGATACAGTAGCACCAACTTAATTTATGCAATTAACGTCAATTTACAAGATTACGGCACCTTTTTGTACGTATAGAGGAAATAATTTCCTTCCGTCCTTTAAGTATTTTTACGTCAGTGTAGAACTCGGTGACGTTTGCTTTACGTAAATGTAATTCTTATTTATTTCGTCAATAAACAATTCCAATGATGACCATTTACATAATAAACAAAAACGTCATATAGCAGACGTAAGCCAGAAGTGCTCGTCAGCAATTGCAGATTAAACATGTTATAAAACCAATTTATTACTTTCCTTAATAAAAATAGACTTTGACGTCAAAGTCAAAGTCAAAAACGTAGGCAACTAAGTTATCCAAAGACAAAGAAAGGAGAACGAATCTCGAAATTCACGTAAATAAAAAAAGCAGAAAGTAGTAAAGTAAAGGTTTCAGTCTGTAGATTTCGATATAATCAAAGCCAAAATAGGTTTAGACGTTATTTGTATCCTTTTTATCAAGTGAACTCCGTGTTTGTCACTGTTTGTTGGTAAAAAAGAAAAAAGAATAAATATTGTTTTTTTTTTAAACTTATTAAAGGAGGTACCTACTTAATAAAATGATCACGAAGATACTGCACGAATGAAATACGTTGTAAGTAACTAGTAGGATACCATTTACGGTTATGGAGTGAAATTATAAATGTAAATTGTGTTGTTTCAGATTTTCTTTATCAGCATCGCGTGGCATTCGATGGAGTGGTTTCAGAAGTTGAAATACTTGACACCTCAAATTGTGCGGTAAGTGGTCAATTTGTGTTTTGACTAAATGAAGTTATAATTATGAGTTCAGTTATACTGTTACCGTCGTTATTTTGTGTCAAGACCCCATAAAGATCAAGGACACAGAAGAATCTGTCGGTAAAATTAAATTTCAAAACAGATTTAAATTAAGGCAAAACTGCAGGTAACAAAAAATATATTAGCATACGTAGGTCCTACGTAACTCTTAAATTTGTGTCCTTAAAAATCTAATAGAAATTTCATAGGTTTATAACCGGAAATGACCTTATTTAGAATATATTGCTGGGAGCGACTTTTGACAACCCCCCTCCCCCCCAATCCCCATGAACACAGTAGAAAATAAGTTAACTAATACATTTCGCGTTTTAAACCCTTAAAAGTGTTTTATTCAAATGTGTCTACTAACTACAAACAGAGCCTTCCCTGTGATTCGAACCTACGACCCACATGCTTAACGCTTTATATTAAACATTGAGCTTCGACGGTCGTTATGTTATAGAAGCGAGAGGCAAATCGTAATTGGCATTAGTGCTTTTGCTCGATTTAAGCTCGTTTCATGGCCAGATGATTAAATCGCATATCGAGAGCTTATTAATGAACCGTTATCTAATCCGAGATTAGATTAATTTTGTACGACATCTCCATTATGTGTAGCGTCTTATATCATTAAGATTATTGGATCTTATAGGAAGCGCGTAATCTCATGATAAGTTTCGATTAAACGTAAGACAATAGAGATCTTAATCTGACAGGTGTTGCTTGGGCGTCTCGGGTTCGACGTACAATTTAATCGCGAGGAAATTACGAACGCTTGACGGGCTGTCTTTCATAAAAATGAATCTATATCATTATATAAGGCTGAAGAGTATGTTTGTTTGTTTGAACGCGTTAATCTCGGGAACTACTCATGCGAATTCTTTTTGTGTTGGTTAAGGCATTTATAAAATATCGCGCTGCGGTTAAAAGGAGCAAAGAAACAGAGGAGAATGGAAAAATAGGGGAAACTATTCATTTGAAAACTTTTTTATACATGTTATTGCACATGAAGGCACTATATAAATGGAAAATTTTTAATTTTAAGTCAGAGCACGGAACGCTGACGATGCCGGTTCAAGTCCTGCCTCGTCGTGGGTAACAGCTTAAGTTTACAGAGTTGAACAAGTTTGCAAAAACAAATTTTATGGCCAAAATAACTTTTTTACGCGGACGAAGTCGCTGACACAGCTAGTGAGTTATATAATCGCCCTACAGTGAAACACTTAGTCATTGTTTTGATTAGAGAAAACCGAGTTTCGTTAACTTGCATTTGTGCATTCGTTGATAATTTAATTTCACTCTCGTCGACAACGTGCTGCTTTTATTTATCTTCTAAGAACATCAAGTACATTATTTATTGCGAGAGTTTGCAAGAGGAATGTACTACGATGTGCAACTTTGTGTAAAGTGTATGTTGTACGACAGATATTTACAACCTTCGGATTGGAAATTATTGTTTTTGGTCGCACGTTTAAATATACTAGTGCAGCCGTGTTAGATAAATTAATTGAACTAGCTTTATTTATGTCGTTGCTTCAATAGTTCGTAAGTGTTCTAGTTATAACTGTTTGATATATGTTTCGTTACAGTTCTTAGGATTTAGAACATATTTCTAGGGCATTAAGTAAACCTATTTAAAAATTCTATAGTCTAAGATATCGTTATATAAAGACAAAATCTATATACATGTCATCTTTCTCAATAAAACTCTTTAACAGTTTAAAAGACGAAATACATTAGATAACTTATTTTTGAGTTATTTAATCCCCCCCCCCCCACTGTGATCACGGCTGCTGCAGAGTATCCGAAGCGACCGCCTGTCGTTAAAATGAGTTACCTAATATATGACACGTTTTAAACCGTTAAAAGTGTTTAATTTAAATGTGTATTTACGTAAACTACAGATAATACTTAATGTTTTTTTTTCATATAGATCCGCGGTTGCCTTGGTGATCACGTGCGCTGGGGTGATGCCTTCGCTGTAGTATATTCTGTCTGCGAACGCCGCTCGTTCCTAGCTGCTGCAGAACTCCTGTCACTGCTAGAACGGACGAGGCTCCCCGGCTGTGCCGCTATCACCCTCTTGGGCAATAAGCGTGACCTCGAACACGCGAGGTAAGATAAACTGCGTACAGTTTGATATATACAAATTCTTTATAGATTATGATCCTCCACAAATTATATTCAATTTATACGTTGAAATTAGAGTGATAAAAAGTATGTTACTGCCTCCAATGGGCTTATTTGTTTTTATGCTATTAATAAATTGAATTAAGTCCAGCAAAATTAGTCAAAAAATATTATATTTTTTTTAGAAATTGCAAATTAGTTTTTTATTTTTTATTTAAATAAATAAAATATTAAAAAATAGATCACAAACCAATTGAGGTTTTTACTTCCAACAGATACAGAACATAAAAACTATAAGATTATACTTACATATAAAGACTTATATAGAATACGGATAAAAATAGCTCTAAATTTATTTTTACTGAGTTCTCAAATTATTAATCAATTTAAAACGCAATAGTATTTACTTAATTTAAAAATCGAAAATAAATTAAAAATCTTCACTCGAGGATTGAACCGGCATTGCCAGCGTTCCGCGCTGTTGCCCTCAAGAGTCAACAATTTTTTCAATTTATTTTCGATTTTTAAATTATATAGTGCCTTCGTGTGCAATAACATGTAAAATTTTTTAAAGTTTAAAAAGATATTTACTTGTAAAATCTGTGATAAGAAAAATACATATTTGGATATAGGTAAAATGGCATGCGCAAATGTAAAATAAAAATTTACCGCGATGATTGCACTTCTGAGAAAATCAATAATTGGTTTTAACATATTAACTCATACCAAATATTTCGCCACGTAAAACTGGGGATAATATATACCTCCAATTCGTTTCACATTCACGATTGTTAAATCCTTTGTATGTATCCTTATCCGTTGAGCAATAAGTTGCAGCTAAGCTCCTTAACTTGATTAATTCACTGTAATATTTTGTTTACACAATCAAACCGTAATAATTGTCTTTGGTTTACGTTTTATTCCTGAATAATGACTTTAGTGCGCTGTAATGATCCCAATTAATTTATTTAACAAGGTGTGCCTTGAGAAATTACTTTAAGTGCATTTTACTATCTCAAGTAATATTTCTCGCTGAAAATTGCAATTACAATTTCACTGTCTAGGAAAGCAATTCATACATCGCGCGGATTATATAAAGGGACTGAGTAATCTTATTAGCCCATAAAAATCGTTATATTTTATTTCAAGTGAACTGAGCTCGGGATATCTCCCACGCCTGGGACAGTCTTCGTAGGTCATTGACTCTTATCTACAACACCGGACAAGCATATCAGACAATCCCAACATAACATGCCGAATTTTTTGTTTGAGCTTGCTAATGTCTTTCATATTTTTTACAATATATATTGTGTTAGATTTATATTAATTTATTAATAAACATTTTTCTTTAAAAGGGAGGTCCACGCGGAAGAGGGACAGGAGTTATCGCTCCGTTTCGGGTGTCAGTTCTATGAGGTGTCCGCGGCAGAATCATGCGCGGGCGCAGCGCTAGCCTTCCACGCGTTATTGCGGGAGGCACGAGCCCTCGCCTTATTATTACCCGCTCCTAGGCGAAAACTCGCCGCCTACTCCGTTTCAAAGGTAAATATAATACTAAAATTCTTGATACGTTAAGCGGAAATTACCCACACACTTAAGAAAAAAGATTCAAATTTTATATTGCGAAAATGTTACAAGATACCGAGACGTATGAATGAAAGAATTATTTCTCTTTAAATGATCTAAACTAATGTTCGCGACGTATATTTAAGAAACAACAACAGATGTCGTAGGTAACAGCTATGATTGATGAAGATCAGGAGGAGGTTTGCAAAAACAAACTTGATGCCCAAAATAACTATTCTACGTGGACGAAGTCACTGGCAGAGCTAGTCAACATTAAAACAACTATATTCCCTTCTTTTAACTAACTTCATCTAAGTTGCTGTCTATTACTAGAAAGTATTAAATTTAATAAACATCGAATGTTCTGTGGAAATATCAACGTCATAATTATGATGTCTTTCTCGTGATAAAAACCATAAATATCAATACCATACTCGTATAGAAAGATTACGTAAAAATAACTAATCATTGTTACACGTCGATCTTTCACTCATGCGCATAGGCCGCATAGTTTTGTGTAAACATACCATATGCGGATGTTCGGAGTTCCCACCATCATAATGTCTGGGCGTCTGAGTTATGTTAGTGATTTTCTTCTGCATTTCTAACGTGATCCGTTGCTCGCTTTTCTCATAAAGCTTTTCATATTATGTAATTGGTTGTTATGGTAACCACATAATATGAAGCTCAAGATATGGACTAGCCTCACAGACCAAGCGTTAAACCTATTAGTGTTTTATTTCCTAAATATTTAAAACTAGCTGTCCGCGTAGAAGTTATTTCGGGCATGAGAACTTGTTTTTGCAAAAAAAATGTCGTTCGCGTCCCGTCGTTTTTGCAAGTCAATATTTAAAGAGAGACATATACTATAGCAGACATTTTTAGATCATTTAAAGAGGAATCATTCAGAGATATTTTTTCCCCCTTTCTTCCATATTTTGGGAAATACATACATACAGTGGGCTGTATCCTCGCTCCTATTAGTTGCATCGTAATCTTTTATATCCTAAAGCCTTCCTTGAAATATTTAAATGCTCTAACCAACACGGAATTATTCAAACCGAACCAGGAGTTCCTGAGATCAGCGCGTTCAAACAAACAAACAAGCTCTTCAGCTTTACTTTATAAGTATATATTAGCGTAGATACTTCTAGTTCTAACACTTGTTAATATAACCTCTTTTTTACAGGTAATCGGGACGATTTTTGGAAAAAACAGCAAGAGTGTTCGAAAAAAACGACCATCGCTTAGTATCTAATTATTGAAATAAGAAAATAATGTTAAGATCCATAGACTGCGTTTAGGTTAAGTATAGTAAAATGTGGAATTGTGATATTTGCATATCTCATACTATAAGGAGGCTCTATAAAACTGATATTTATCGACATTAAAGCAATTGTTATTAAATTTAGAAGGCGGATGATCCATGTCTATGATATAAAGAATTACATATTGTTATATAAAAGACTTTAGCGGCCATTTTGCAAAGCCACTTGGGTCGAATTGTGCGACCGTCGTAAACGAGAAATGTCTCTCGACGATTCGTCATCACGAATGGATGACGTAACGAGTGATGGTGTTCCTCAAAAATGTTAACGCCAGTTCTTTTCTCAATTACGACCGTCGAACACCCAGGTTGCTTTATATCTTATATTGTTATTTATTTGATTATATATTTTATATCCTTGTAATTCTACAAAAGCTCATCCACTTTCTTTGTTTTAAAATATGCATGGAAGTTGTACATATATGCGTCACATAAAAAACCTCGCATCGCAGTTATAAAGACTCGACAACGACATCACTATTGTAAATATTAAATTAAATAATAGTAGTTAATGTTTTCTTGACGATAAGATTTGCAATTAAGTACATAATAAATTTTTATGTTTATGTCTCCGGGTTTTATTTCTTGCCAGGCTCGTGTAAGATGACCACAACACGATTCTTAATACAATCTAACTCTGCAGTTGCAGTTAAACGTGAATTGCTTGCTCGTTTCTCGTGAAACTATGATAACATTGTACTCGTATTTTGTTACCAGTGGTACACATTAAATAAGCAACAGCACGGAACGCGGTAGATGCCGGTTCAAGTCTTGTCCGTGTCTTTTTTTCAGTTTGTAATCAATTTTTGATTTAAATAGTGCAAAGTGAACAATAGCCAAATATTTGCTGGTTTTACACGCATCATCGACTCTTTGGTTTCTGACATTTTACTCACAATATATGAATAAGAATTACTAACAATGTAACAATTTTCCTGATTTCCAGAATTCCTGACCACAAACGAGATATCCTTTCTTTTTTTTCCCACACCCTTTACCTTTCGGGTTTTTTTTTTTTTTTTGTTTTTTTTTTTTTTTTTTTTTTTTTTTTTTTTTTTCCCCCCCCCCTTTTTTTATTTCCAGATTTCGATACGAAGTCCTACATATTTCAGAATAATTATAAACTGATTAGAAAATTGTTGGAGCTGGTGAGGATCGAATCCATGATCCATTGATTAGTTATTAAATTGCTACCATTAAACCAACTAGCCCGTTGACATTTTAATACAATTTAGTAGTTTGAGAAAAACAGACAAGCTCACATTTATTTTTTTCTGCCACTCAGACTGCAAGTACCGTGTCCTACTTATTCGTGTGACGAACGATATCACCTATCGGAAAATGTCACAATTCTTAAAAATGCGGGCATTAACCTTGTATCTTGTCTATTTATACGTTAAATATGCGTCTCTTAGAGCTGTCGAAGTAACAAAGCCTATTCCGCCAGAACAGTACTGGGTAAGCTAATAAACTATTTGATTGGTAACAACTTGAAATCCTGTTAAATAGAAATGAACTGAGAAACCAATTATACTCGTAGGTATATATATAGTTTATAAAATAATTTCTATCAATCGGATTGCCGTCAAAGGAAATGCTGACCTATAGGAAGCATTCAGCCTCCAGCGTAGGCACTAGGCACCTTACGCGCTCTACTTGTTGTGCAATTCATCTTTCACAGTAGACACTAACAAGGTACACGCAAACAATAAAACGGCGAAGCACTACTGATGCAGGAAAACTTAAGAAACAGATAACAATACTACGTAGAACAGTTTGATTTAAATTATTCAACGAATCTTTGGAAACTTCGCGGATTCGATTTTTGGCCATTCAATAAATTTGTATACATTCTGACTTGCACTGTCTGAATAAATAAGGCAGAATGTTCTAGAAGCAGAATAAGACATTTGATATTGAGATGTGTTTCTCTATCAGCTTACATACACAATCAGGGATTGGTTTTGTCTGTTCATATGACTGACGATGGTGATGAAGATATTTTTGACAACAACCCCATGTCTTGGGAAGCAGAAATATTGGCACAACTTATGCACCATGATATATTGGGATTGGATATACTGGAATTAAATATTAAGGTATTGTACTGCCATAAAAAGTAGTATAAGAGAGTAAAACTCACGAAATGGAATAAAAAAAGTATCTGCCCCATGCCCCATAAAGGAGATATGATATTTCCACACTTGCGTAAACTACAAAAAAGTGGGAGTGGCGCAAGCTTACATGCAGGGGGATTGGGGAAAAGGGTGACAAGCTCATTCTATGTGGAGTTATCATCATGCAATAGATGTTCTCAAAAGATAATATATATAAATAAAACTTAAAACTATAGATGAAAGTAGGCTCTACAAGATGTAATCTTAACTTTCATTGATCTAAAAGGGTTCTTATTTTCCAGTGTTAGTTTCTTATGAGTGTCAGAACAACCGCAGGGGACATGCCCAGTTGATGTCAGATATTATTGATTGGACATAGCTACTGGTTGGAGAGAGTTAGCATGTTGCACCTTCCCACTGGTCTGATATATTATGACAAATGTTGCCCGTGCATATGTGAAAGTCACAAATGCGATTAGGGCACTTAAAAAATATATAAATAAAATATATCAGTTAAAAATTATATCAAAGTATAGACTTATTTTTACCATTCGCAAAAAAAAAACATTGTATTCAAGTGTACGTGTGTAAGTTCAAAGGACGCACTTTTAAAATCAAGATTAAATCAGTTAAAAACACTTTTAACAGTTGACGTCCCAAAGTACGGTATTTGAGATATCGGGTAATTAGTAAAACGAAGTTAAAATTGTTAAATGAATGTGTACTAACTATTAGAGTATAGTGAAAAATTCTAGGAATTGGTTAAGCAAATCAACCGTATTTGCATTTATAATTATTATACACATTAAAAATATTAAGCACGATTCTTAAATTTCTACTTCGTAGTCCGAATTTCTTTTAAGCATATCATTAGTAATAAACACCTTATTAACATAATGAGCCTATTGAAGTGGCTATGAATTTTTGCAGTTAATATCCTGCAATTAAAATAACAAATATCTAATTCGATTTGAGCGGCCGAGCGGAAACATAAATGTTTAGCTACCGGCGATATGTTGTAAAAACGCCGGCAAGTTCAAGAGCACGATGAATAATTTCGTTACAATTTATTCGGTTGACGGTTAGAATGAATGGTGGAATAAGCAATAAATAAATGGCATGCTCAGCTCTTACATAATCTGTATTAATATCTGTAGTAAACGTTTGTCTGGACAGAAATCGAATTTACAAATTGATGGGAGATATTAAATAAGAGAAAATAATTTAGGTATTACTTCTTCTCTATTTAAGGAGACGGTAATATAAAAAAAATACATCAAGGTTGCTAAGGTTGGGCTAAATTTGATGATAGTGTAAAGAAAACAGTCACTTTAAGATTACGTATACGCCTTTGAAATTAGTAAATATTTAAAATCAAATTAAAAGAAGTATTGTCTACTGATAGTGAATATAAAATACAGAAGTCGTTAATTAGCTGTTTAGAGTAGTAACGCTATCCGGATCACTTTGGATGCCGGATCAAGTCCAATCGTGTAAAAAATTAGATTTTTTAAACTATAGAAATCAGAGTTCCATTTGAAGGATATGAAAACATGTATTATTCTATAGTAATTCAGATTCAGAAAATCGCGGGTGAGCTATGTTATAAATGTAACTTTTCTTGCTCTCAATTTGTATTAAACCTACAGGTGTACCGATGCGAAGATAAAACTAATAAATCGAACTCCTTGATCGTATTAGCGGCGCCAACTTTCCGTTCCCTCTCTTTCAAAATGCCTTCACTAAAGGAAATGAAAATAAGTAGACACTCGCAATGAGTTCCCGCCGATTTCTAATGTTGTATGTTTAAATTATAAACCAACTACATATACCGTCCTATTTGTAAAAACATTACTTTCCTATTCAAAAACATATGCGGAATAGTCACTATATGTCCATAACACATCGGCTTTCGACTTAAGATTATTACTATCATAATAAAGATTATTAGCTATAAACATAAATACTGTCTATAGTTGACGCGAGTAGTACACATTTAAATAAAACACTTTAACGGTTTAAAACGCGATATATTAGTTAAACTTATTTGAAAATGTTTTTTTTTTTTAACTTCGGCCCGACGTTTCGGATGCTTGGCAGCAGCCGAAACGTAGGGCCGAAGTTAAAAATCATTTTCAAATAAGTTTAACTAACATATCGCGTTTTAAACCGTTAAACTGTTTTATTTAAAAGTTATAAACATGTCAAGTACAACCGAGTGTAGGGCTTTAAGATTATTAGTATCTGTTTCATCAACAATATTCGATCATTAATTACAATGGTAAAGCGTGGTCATCTTAAACGTAACGAATATTTTTTTTGTTGAGTCATATAAAAAGAAAGTAATTTTATCGTCTCTCTAATTCAATCATGAGGGTTAGGAATAATAACCTTTCCGGTGTTCGCGAATTTAATGTCAATTATAAATCGTAATCACAATTGATTGGTCAGTGAAAGCATTTAGATGAAATCCATCGCGCTGTGTATCGCTGGAGGCAGACACAATTTAATGATCTATTGACAAGTATTGATAATGATTGAAATACTAACGGGGATTCTCCGACAGATGTTCGTTCGTATTTGTTTTAAAGGTTGAATGCTGAAGCTGAAGAGGTTTTTGTGTTGGTTAGACTGTTTATCGAGGAAGGCTTTAGGCTATAAAATAAGATACAGAGAGAAATGTAGGAAAATGGGAAAATTAAGAGCTCTAAGAGCGCTTTCGTTGCGTGCATTGCGAATATTATTTAGTCTTAAAAAATAACCGCGACAGCAAATGGTCTATTAAGATAAATTCACAACAATCATTTTTATGGTAATAAAATTTACTCAAAATACTTCATATGGTAAGATACGCCATGTCAGGTTTTTGTTTATAAGTTCTAAACCGCCTGTGCCCCTGCATTGTCTGATAGAGGAGGACAGACAAGCACGAAGTTACTTGATGATGGGTGAAATATCCCAACCTATAGCATCATATAGGTTCGTGACCCAGACGGGATTTTGATATTCTTACCACCCTTTTGATATCCAGACTTCCAGACAAAGTTTCAGAAGAATAATGATTTGAATATCAGAAACACGTTGAACCGTAATATAAACCACTAGTCTCAGCGACTCATCCGCGACCCATCGTTCTTGCAAGTTAAAGTTAAAAGATATACGTGTCCAGAACTTTTTTTAGATCATTTAAAGAGGAATCATTCTTTCATTTATTTTTTGCTTGTCTTAAACGTTTTTGAAGCGTACGCATCGGAAACCCCCAGAGACGAATAATTCCCCCCCGTTTTTTCGACATTTCCCGCCGTTTGTTTTTATAGCGTATAGCCTTCCTCGATAAATGCTCTAAAAAACACAAAAACTGTTTTTCAATTTCGAACCAGTAGTTCCCGAGATTAGCGCGTTCGAACAAACAAACTCTTCAGCGTTATATTAGTGTAGATAGATTTCCTTTCGACAAGACATACAGCAACAATGACAGGATTGGATGAACGTCATGATGGCGTTCGTCCAGCATTCCCGATGCGGCCGATATCATTATCAGTCACTTTCATCTCTCGACTTTGATTAAACGATTACCGATGTCGTCTAATCGGTCGTGTTTGTCTCGGACGGGTGGAACACGCACGGCTGCGGTGGCGCGTACTATATTACGACAATTGACGCATATGCGCTAATGCGGCCCGACATCTTATGTTTTGTGGTTATAAAAAAAACTATTTATATCTACTCCGAGTTTCTCTATGTATATAATATTAACTACGTTATCAGATAAATATTTCCTTTTATATCGTCATATACTATTTTATTTTATTTTTGAATTCAAATTTGTTTTGCAAACCGAGGAGGTTCTTCATATTTATAAATTATAGACATCGGTCGCGTCCCGTCGTTCTTGCAAGTTAATCTTAAAAGATAGACATACTTTATGGGCGTTTTTAGATAATTTAAAGAGGAATTATTCTTTCATACATATACCACCCACGGCTGACCACGTGTGACCACGGCTGCTGCAAAGCATCCGAAACGTCGGACCGTAGTTAAAAATAATTTTCAAACAAGTTTAACTAAAATACGCGTTTTAAACCGTTAAAGTGTTTTATTTAAAAGCTTTAAACTATCTACAGAAAAATATACCTCATATAACATAGAAATATCAAACACAAAAATACATCCCTACGGACAGACCCTTTGTGTTCTTCATGTGTGATGCTTAATCGGTTATATCAGATCCGTGAAGCGAATGCTTTTCAAACCCAGTCGATGGGCTAGTATTGATCTCTATCAATTTATACCTTTTATATTTAAATCTACTCTGACAGTTTTACGGATCTACGAAAAATTATAGAGTGCTGTCATAAATGTCAATAAGAAAAAAGTGTGTTATCTATTGAAAAATTGGTTGGGAAATAGCGAAGTTTTGGCGGGAATTACTTAATGTTGAGCAAACGGCAGGCTCATTTTTGAGTGTCTGCTTTGTGTTTGATCAGACTTCACTGCCCTAGGAAAAGAACCCAGACCCACTCACACGTATTGCGATGTGCCTAGCATAATTTGACTCGTTTAAAACAAGTTTAGCGTGAAATTTTCATTACTAGGACATTTGGTTAAATATAAATAAAAAAAATGTTTTTGTTGTTATTAACTACTGCTACTGATAACTTTAGAGAATCTAAGAGAAGTACAAGTTAAAATAATAGTTAGTAAGAGAATTATTGTACCTGATATTCTGCGAACCACAGCTGCCACAAAATGTCCTTCATTCCATCTTTATAATTGTAAACACGGTCATATTATACTTTTAATGTTTTCAAGTTTACTATTTCATCATCAATCGTATCAAGTATCTTTGTTACAACAATGTAATAGTATTAAATAACTAGAAGTGTTGGATCTAACGAGGTAGAACTAATTTTAGTACTATAAAGGGACTTAATTAGAACAATGATTGATTACAAAGGCGGTTGTTATATAGATTAAAAATCGAAAAGAAATTGATATAGCTTTCGAATCGGGCAGGATTTGAACTGGCATCGTCAATTGTTTAATTGAGCTACCGAGTCAGTTGGTTAGAGCAATATCACAGAACGCTGACGATGCCGGTTCAAGTCCTGCCCTAGTCGACAATTTTTCGATTTCTTTTCCAGTACCATCATGTAGATGTTAAAATGTTAAAGGTTTCAAACGCGATTGTTATAAAGTATAATTTTTCGTCCGCTGTCTACTAGTGGCCTGAAATGGACATTTCCCAATAAACATCTGTATCCGGATGTTTCATAATACGCAAATATACATGTGATAATCTAATTGTATAACAGAAAACCGGTAAGTCGAACGGTATCGAGTTAAACGCTAATGGAGCCAAATAGAGATAATCAGTGGGCACCTGTCTAATAGTTGACGAATGAGAAATCGTAGTAGGGGATGAATCAGCGGAGAAAGTAAAAATGTTATCGAGTTATAAATTCTGGAATCGATTATCGAAACACGCAATTGAAAGGCCGACTCGATTTTTTCGATTGTGAGCAATTAAAGCTAATAAAATCTGGATTAAAATATGCCAGATAAGTGGGACGCCCGTATGAGTTTAAATAAATCTTATGGACCGGTTAGTTTTAATGACTTCACGTGTATCGTGTTAATCTTTATCGCTGTTCCGTGAAAAGTGCAGATTCAAGTCCGAAAGTGAATCAGTTAAGATTGTTCGATAGTGCGAATTCTGTTATTCGGTCATCGCTTTTGATGGCACAGTTAAATCATTTAGTTTCTGGGCTCCATAATTAAAAGTTAAACATTCATAAAATACATGCAATCACCATAAAATTTTAATCCGGTTGTTTTTAATTGATATTTCCTTTGTCCACCGCGCGTTCTCATAAAGACTCAGATTTTTTATTCTTCTTATTTGATTTATATGTTTTGTGAGTTATTAATTATAATATAAATAATAATTCAACATCAGCGTTTCATGTGTATCAATCGCTGTACAGTTTATTTAAATTTATTTTATTTTATTTTTTATTATTTTATTAAAAAAAGAAAAAAAGAAATATATTTTCTTTAACTTGTTTTATTTTATTACTATCGGTTTATTTTAATTACGAGCAGATATGCTTAGACACTTTTAGTCTACCCGTGACTACGTCTGCTATAAAGCTTTCGAAATGTCAGGTCATATTAAAAAGTAAATTCACTTATATAGCTATATTTACTTCGTTAATTGTTTTATTTGCAATAAAGTATTTAAATAAATTATGAGAGCACAAACCCATATCGAGTAATGTTATTAAACAAACGCAATGGATCGTTTCCAGTAACAAACTTTATGTCTTCAATTAAAAATATTGAATATCTCGGAGCTTGTTCGAAGATAACGCTAAACGGTTAATTTGTAAGTCATACGTTGCGTAAATCATGTCATGTTTGTTGCTTTAAGCTAATGAGCTTGTTCAGTGGCTACCTTGCTTACACTTTATTAGAAGTCATGATTACAGACGACGGGACAGTATTCATTATTGTATTATTACGTACATGCACGAATTTATTGTTTAATATTATACTGTTACGCAATCAAGGTAGAAGAAGAAGGTTTTGCATATGAACTGTACGCATTGCTTTGGCGGGCTCTTTGGTCAAGTGGTAGCAATGTAATCAACGGATCGTGGGTTCGATCTCCACCAGGTCCAACATGTTTATAATTATTAAATTTACGTATTGCAATCTATATGATTTAAAAATCGAAATATTGAAAAAATTTCTAGTACGCAGTGTTAAGGTTGAA